AAAAAAAAAAAAAAGATCTCGGGACAGAGGAGCTGCCCAGGTTCCTCAGCAGGTGGGGCCGGCCGAGTGGGCCGCTCACCAGGTGCTGCCCAGCTGCCCCCTCAGCCGTCACTCCCCGCCTGGCAAGCTCGGGCATGCGGCAGCTCTGCCCTGCTGTGGCCCAGCCTCCGGGGTGGATGGCCTCCTGCCATTCCTACGGGGAGTCCACCTTCTGAGGAGGGCCTGGAGGGACTCTGGATCCCCTCCGTCCTCTGTCTTCGGGGGGTATTGGAGCCGCTTCCTGCAATGAAGGGCACCTTCCTGACATTAGAGGATTCAAGTTTATGACCCCAAGTGGCCACTCCCTTGACTTGTGGCCACCGTGTTGGCGCCTGAATAGTGCAGAATAATAACCCTGAGGAGCCGGGTTGTGCAGGGTCAGGAGGCCAAGCCCTTCCTACCCTGGGGCAGGCTGGGCTGAGAGGTGGGTATGACTGTCCCTGTTTTATGAATGAACCTGAGGTTTGGAGAGGTCAAGTCACCTGCCTGAGGACACACAGCCCATGTCTGCCCTGACGACTGGCCCTGACGCTCTGTTGGCTGGAAACCAGGGCCAAGGGTGGACTGTGACCAGGAACCCACTCACTGAGGCCGCAGAGGAGCCCCCGTGAGCGGGGCGGGGGACAGTGAGCGGGCCGAGGGTGCTCTTGTTCTGTGGCTCCCGAGGCTCAGTGCAGAGTGCTGACCACGGCACCTGTGTCCGCAGGATGCTGTCCAGCCTGAATGCGTGGCTGTGGCAGGAAAAGCTCTGGTTACCACCAAACTGCTCCTGGGAGCAGCTGGAGGACCGTGATGGCCGCGTCTTCGCCCACCCCCACCACATGCTGGCGGCCCTGCCCCTAGCCCTGGTCCTGGTGGCCCTGCGCATTGTCTTCGAGAGGTGAGTGTCCATGTGTGCTACCTCTGGCCGACCCTGTCACCTGTGTGTCCCTGCATGCGTGGGGTCCCCATCTGCAGTGTCCTGGGTGGGACCTGGCTTGGCACCACTTCCCTCTAGTGGCTGGTGGCTGGCTTACCCTGGGTGTGCCTCCACCTTCATGGAACAGGGCTGGGGACCTGGGAGGACATGGGTCTGGCCTTCAGAGGTGAGTAGAGGGACACCTGCGGCTCCCTCCCACCCAGGGCCTGAAGCTCCTCCCTCTGCCATGGGCTAGTCTGACCCGCCCCACCCCCTCCCCCTCTGCTCGCTCCTCCCCTCCCCCTCCCCTTACACTGGTCCTCCCCCTCCCCTTACACTGGTCCCCCCTCATGCCCCCCATTTGCCCCCAACCTCTGGCAGTCTGGTACCTGTTCCCCAAGTATGTGCCACCTGCCCAGATTCCCAGTGACCTGGCTGCCAAAACCCCTGGATTTTCGGTCATTTCCTGCGTGACCAGTGGGAGCCAGGCTCTCTCCCCTGAGCACCCTCTCTGGTGGGAGTCTTTGCTCCTACAGCTCCCCCCTGGGCAGGGCCCACAGAGACCCTGCTGCGCTGCAGTCTCGGGCACACAGACAGACCCCCGCCAGCCCCTCTCCTGCCCCGGCCCTGCCTGGCTCCCCACCTCCCAGTGGCCCTCCTAAGCCTGCACCCCACAGCCTCCCCACCACCTGCCACCGGCCCCTCACACCTGGGTCCAGTCTTGCCGCCTTCTGGGTGACCTCCGGCCTTGGCCCTGGTTCCTCTTCTATTCCCTTAAGGATGATTCCTTGTCCCTCCCTGGAGCCAGACCCTCAGCCCTTCTTCAGGGAACCCCCCCTGAGGTCCCTCCCCTCGCCCCACCCCTGATCCTGGGCACAGGGGTGTCCTGCATCTCGCTTTGTGGCTCCTACTCATGGCGGCTTCCTGAGCTCTGGGCCCCTGGACCTTCACAGAGGGGTCTTTATCCAGCACATGGCCTTCGGAGGAGGCCTGCCTGTCCCGGTCAGCTCCCGGCCAGATCTCGGCCGTTAAGGGGTTTTAACTTGCGCGGTCTGATGCGGCTGCAGGACATGGTCCGTTTTACAAAAGACTAAATGGACGCAGAGGTCTAGTGACCTGCTGAGGTCACACGGCAGATCACCCAGGTCTGGAGGTTGCCTGAGGGAGTCCTCCAGCCCACACCCAGCTGGGTCTTGAAGGGAGGGGACAGGGGAGAGTGGGGATGGATGGAGTGGGCAGGCACTGTGCCCAGGTCCACTACTGGAGCCCAGCAGGGAAACTATTTAAATAATGGCCTTGCCTGAGTCACTGTGGAGGGCCGTGGGGGTGGGGGAAGCAGAGGTATTAACTGTTAAAAGATTAGTCTTGGGTTCAAACTTGAGGTATGTCCCCCCATCACCCATTGTGCCACCCTGGGCACATCTCTGAGGGCCTTTGTCCAGTTTGCCCATCAGGACAATTGAGCCAGTGATAAGGACTCAGTCCTCCACTTGGCAGGTAGTAGGTGCTCAGTAAAACCAGCCCCCTCTGTTCCCCATCACAGTTGCAGTGGAGGTGAGTGCCCTGTCAGGCTGCTCTGCGCCTCGGTTTCTCCAAATGAGGAGCGATGTTAGGTCGCTGATGAAATTCCGGCCCCACCCGGGTCTTGGGGGCCCCCTGGTGGACAGTGCGGTGATTGCCCAGGGTCCTCACTAATCCTTTGCCCCAACCTGAGCAGTGCCCTATGCTGGAGGAGGGGGACTTTAAAGGAGGCAGGCCCTGCTCCTGCCCTTGGGAATCAGGACCCCGGCGTCTGGGGGACAGGCAGTAAGGGACTCTCGACTTGGTTGGGGATGGGCGAAGGTACCTGGGAACCCCACATCCTGACGATGGTCCGGCTCCTACCCCCCACCCCCACGCCGTCCAGTACAACACGGGGTTCTGGGGCCCAGCGTGGGAGGCCAGCGCAGCAGGGGAGAGTTCTGACCCTGCCCCACGGTTCCCTGGGCTCCGGGCCTGTGGACCTTCCTCTTAGAGGGAGAAGAAAGACCCCCAGCCTCACGCCCTGCTGTGCGCCCACCCCTGGCCCTATAACGTGTTCCCCGCCACCTCCCCCACGCTCACCCTTCTCTCCTGGGCGCTAACGGGCTCCATGTCCCCTGCACTCAGATTCGTAGGCCTGCCCCTGGGCCGGTGGCTGGGAGTGCGGGATCGGGTCCGGAAACCTGCGAAGCCCAACGCCACGCTGGAGAGACACTTCCTGGAGACCGGGCGGAGACCCCAGGAGGTGAGTGCCTGTCGTGGATGGTGCCCGGCAGCGGTTTGTGACCACTTATTGGGGGCCAGGGAAGCTACGGTGTCCTCTGGCACTCCAACAAATGCCCAGCCTGCACGCCACCTGGATGCCCTGCTTGCCTGGGAAGCGAAGCCTCGCCCCCTCGAGCTGGGTGGGGGCGGGGTAAAGAAGTGAATCCCGCCCTCCATCCTGGGCATCAGCCGACACAGCTGCCCGCTGGGCAGATTCTGGGCTGGGAGGAGAGGAGTAATTCTTTCCCGGCTCTTGGGAAGGAAAAGAAGTCTGGCTGTGCCTGGGGGTGGTGACAGGCAGCCCTGTGACCGACCTCCGTTCCCACCCATGGAGTGGACTGCTCAGGGGACAGGGTCTGGGGGTGTGGGTCCTGAGAGGAAGGAAACTGTTTTCCCTGGTAAGGTCAGGACAACTCGGAAGAGCAGAGAGCTTTGCGGTCCCCCTCCCTCTGCAATCTCCTCTGTAGGAAGGGCTGAGGGCAAGCTCTCCACCGCTGCCTGGGGTGTAGGAAAGCCTCTT